CAAAGAATTAGGAGAGAACATTCATTGGGAGATGTGTGCATTCCTTCTTAGGGGATGAAGGGAGTGGGAAATTCATTTACTTACCCTTAACCCTCCATAGGCCCCCCTCCTCTGAGGTGCATCCTTTTAAGTTCTCAAAGGAAAGAGTCAAGACACTGCTTTTTGAGAAAATAAAGGGAGGATCCCGAAGCTGGTACTTTTGAAGAGTGGAATCAATTTTGATTCTTACAGTCTACTGATTGATGCAGATGTTTTTCAGAAGTAGACTGTGTTGAATCTGATTACCAGAAAGGTGTTTCAGGGGTTCTTTTAAATGTATGGACTTCTTTCTAATTTTAGTCTTATGGTCATTAAAAATAAAGCCCTATTGTTGCATTCAAAGCTGTCACATGTCTAAATACTTGGTAGAATGGGGAGTGCAAGGTAGGATCTGGGTCTGCTGCCCTGTTGATGCGTTCCAGAGCATCACTGAAAATAGGGCTTGCCTGCTGTTCCATACCAGAGAACGTTTTTCACTGTCTTTTGCTGTTTTATACTAGAACACTCCTATTAGTCTTCTACATGCTAGTGTCTTCATCTTTGTGAATGCTTTTTTTCTGGGGTAGAAGAGGGAAGGAAAGGATTGACATTTTCCTATCTACATCCCACCCCCAGGGTTCTCTGTGATGGTCTTTTTTCCTTTGAGAACTTTATAAAGGAATCATTAACAAATATAATGATATATATTAAAATGTACAATGTGATGATTTGCTATACATACACATTGTGGGATGATAGTCATGTTCAAGATATTAACACATCTTATCACCTCAAATAGTTGACTCTGTTTTTTTTTTTATTGTTTTGAGGGAGAAATAAAGACAGCAAGAAGAGAGACATGGATTTGTTTTTCCACTGATGTGTAGGCATCAAACCTGCAGCATTGGCACATGGAGACAATGCTCTAACCAACCGAGCTACCCAGCCAGGGCTGTGAGGGTTGTGTTTTTTTGTGTGTTTGTTTTTTTTAACAGAAAATGTTTAAGATCTACTCTCAGTACCTTTCAAATATGCAGTATTAGATATTATTAACTGTAGTCACCATGCTGTACATTAGCTCCTCAGAATGTTTTCTTTTTATAACTGAAAGTTTGCACCCTTTGGCCCGTATCTTCCCATTTATCCTTGAGCCAACCCCTAGCAGCCACCATTCGGTTCTATCTCTACGAAATCATTTTTTGTTTGTTATTTGTCTTTTGTTAAGATTCCACGTTTAAGAGGAACTATACAGTCTTTGTCTTCATCTGGTTTATTTCACTTAGAAATAAGCTTTACCTAACTTCTTGCTAATGGCGGGATTTCCTTCCCTTTATGGCTGAATAACATTCCATTGGGTCTGAAATGTAATGAGCACTTTCTTGATGTGATGGTTGATTCACACCTATGCACAGAGGTGAGGGGGGAGAGGCTGGTGTTGGTAGTGACTCAGTAGGAGCTTTGGAAGACCTGGGGAAGAAGGATAATAGTCTGGTGAGCACAGGTGGTGACTGTTGGACCCAGTGCTGGGGAAGATGCCCAGGCTCACTTCCTTGAACACCCTCTCAGGTCCCTGCACAGAGCCTGGCAATATTTCCACTCCCTCCCACTCTTTCAGGAATGGGTGCCTTGCATAGCAGCTTAGTGGGTGCTCATGTTTCTTATAATATGGACAAAGGGAAGTTTTCCCCGGAGGGTTTGTAATAAATGAATATGGAGCCACAGCATAAAAACAGCACAAATGGCCTGTGGTGACAGTGGCTCCTAGACTGGCTGAGGTTACCTGGAGATGTAACTGTGAAAGATCCTAGAAATATCTGGGCACTGAAGTCTGGTACCATGTAGGTAGACATTGTCAAACCATAGATATTTGGATGATAGCTATTTAAAATGTCCTATGATTTAAAGAAGAACCCAAAAAAGCTCTGACCATATGGCTCAACACTTATAGTTTTGAAAGAGGGAAATTTTGGTACTAAATAGTATAAACAATGTATAGAGAAATGAGATGCTGATGGAGATTCCGTTTTGTGTGAATGTGTTTATCTAGACAGCCTTGCTCTCACTGATTAGGTTTATAATTAATTACTGTGCATTTGGACTTGGATATATTGAACTAACTCTGTACTACATGAAACTTGTTGCTGACGGAATAAAAATAAATGACCATATATATGTCATTTCAGTATATACAACATTTTACTTGCTTCAAGAGTTCCACTGATTTTTTTTAAGCTTGAAAAGTACACAAAACATGGTAGACAGTAGGACCAAAATAAGTAGGCAATTGCATTTACCCCATTTTCTCATCTAATGGTGGTGCTAGTTCTATTCAGTTCTTTTCTGTTCTTAACAGAACAGAAAAGCAAGCAAACAACAGCAAAGCATAACTCATATAATGGTGCTTCACCATCCAGGAGTAATGCGTCAAATAACACACATGGACAGTAATGCACTAAATAACACACATCACCATCCAGGAGTGATGCTCTAAATAACACACATGGACAGAAACATGCTAACTAACACACATGGGCAGTCAAGAGACAAAAGAGGGGGAGAAAGATTTCAAGGCTTCGACTGAAAACACAAGGAAAAGTTCTTTCTTTCTGTAATCATTCTGAAAACAGAGAGATTAGGTTGACTCGAGCTGATAAACTTTGAAATACCATGAAGGACACCTCTCTGGTGTATTGATGAACTGCCGGAATAGATCACTGGCATTTTCGTTTTCCTGGTCCAGTAAGAAGAGTCACTGATACCTCACGCCTGCCTGCCTGTGAATTGCTTCTCTGATTGCTGCTCATGTGGGTGGGGTGTCTCACACCATTGCATGCTGGGTAAAAGGATTCCTTCTCTAGGATTCCTCTGAATTCCCTTGTCAGACTCAGCCTGTGACCAGCTGAACATCATTATTTTGTTGGCCGCTGGATTGTATCAGGAAAGCAACTACCTGGAGATGCTTTATGCCCTCACTGCTCCCATTTCCTCCACAGGGGATTTATAGGCCTATTCGAGGTGGCACAGCAACATCACTCTGTGTCTTCAAACAAACGGCCACCCCGCTGCCACTGATCAGAGTTTCTGGGATGGCGGTGATTGAAATTTAGCACTTAGAGCAATTTAATTGGCACCCGGATCTGTTCAACATATGCCCCAACCGTAGGCATGCCATCTGATGTGCCCACAGGGTGCCTCACACCTCACACATGCTCCCATTTTGCTAAAGAGGCAAGTTTTGAACAGCTCCTTGAAGGAAGCCTGTATGGTGGTGTAGGAGAGGGGAGGCCCTAGAGCCCAGGTCCCCAGATCCTCAGCATTCCCTTGAACTTGGAACAAACCTAAGTCCTGGAGTTCCAGTTCGCTTGTTGAGAAAGAAACCTTCAGAATCTCTCCCTGATCAAGTAAATCAAGGCCAGCGCTAGTGGAGTGCAGCCTGGAAGGGTTCAGCACTCCTGGCAGCGCACTGCCTTGAAAATCAAGGTTAGAATGTTCCCTGCTCACTGAGGCTGGAACTGATCCCTTGGCCTGCAGACAAAATCCTGGAAATCAGTGTCACCACTTTTCTCTCCAGTTGGGAACATCAGTCCTGGGCCAGATGTTCTAGGTTAGAGTTTATCTGGTGAGGAATATGAACCTCAACAGAAAGTAGAACAGTCCCATTTGGTTCTTTCCTTATGCAAGAAGAAGGGTCGAGGATATCAGTGCTTAGGAACACACTGCTCTGTTCAGTCTCCCCAAGCTCCCTGGTGCTCATGGACTTCACGTCACCAGGCGGACCCTGGTCATTGCTGCAGGTGCCCAGATGCAGCCACGCTGTGCATGGCTGAGAAGAGGCATACCAGCTCTCTTAACGATTTAGTGGGTTTTTAAAAATACATATATTTTTATTTCAAGGAGATGGATAGAGAGAAACACCAATGATGAGTGAGAATTGAGCCCACACTCTGGAATGTGTCCTGACAGGGAATCATACAGTGACCTCCTGGTTCATAGGTTGATATTCAGCCACCGAGCCATACTAGCCAGGGTTTGTTCCTGTTTTAAATGGGTCACAGAACCCCAGGCCTCATCTGTATTTGTATTTTCCTCTGGCATTAGGCAACATCCCAGGCTCCTAATAAATGGGTAGTAAGTGCTTGTTGAATTCTGAAAGAACGAACTGCAGTGTTCATGCTTCTCTGAGTGAGCAATAGGTTAGAATCAGAGGAAGACTCACTGTGACATTAATGAAGCTTGCATTTCAGTGCCCCTCATTGAACGGGTCCCTTTGCAGGACCTGCCCTTAAGTTTGGAATCATAATCTATGTCCTGCTTCTTATGGAGGGCTCCCCAAATTCCATAGGCTTCCAGACCCCATAAAACATAGAGAGGAGCCTGTTCAAATGCTATGGCTTAGCCCATGGGTCTTATTCCAACCAGTGGCTTTCCCCGGTATTGGGAGATGAGAAGAAACTGATAGAGCCAGGCCTGCAGAGAAGAAAGGGAGGGACTAACATTTAAGAACTTCATGCTAAACCAGGATAACTTGCATTTCTTACCTAGTTGAACTCCTCACTGCAACCTTTTCTGGGGGATAGCATAGTGAGATTCTGAGAAGCTAAGAAACCTGTCCCTGGGGAAGTTTCTAGGGCCTTCTATTCTCCAAACCATCAGCTCGGTGGCTACCTTGCAGGATGCGTGCTTCAGAGCTTTGCAAGTCTTCCCAGAAAGTGTTAAATCCACCAGGGTAAGAAAGGTCTGGGAAGTTCAGGTAACTTGCCTTGGGAGTGGAAGGGAGAAAGTTGGGGAAGGGATTGGGCTTGAGCAGTTTCATGGAAGGCACTGGCAAACTCTTCCCCAGTCAGCATAAGGGAACTTGGTAACAATTCATTCAATTATGTTAAGCGCCCATTAAAGGAATCCTAAACCCTCCCTTGGGCCATTTCGCTTCTATGAGATTGTAATTGTTTGAGACTAACTATGATTTCTTCTTTTGCCTTCAGGTGATTCTCATTTTGACAAAGCTCTATGACTATAACCTGGGGAGCATCACTGAGAGCTCACTTTGGAGGTAAGTAGATAAACAGAGCTAATGATTGCTGTGTTATTTAATCATGTCCACCACTGCTCTCCCCCAACCCCTTTTCCCCAGGTGAGATCTCTCTTATTTTACCTTCCTTCCTCAGCTCTCTGTTGCCTAGGCCATGGTTGGGGTTTATCTGTAGGCAGACCAGACCCTTACTTTTTATACAATCCTCCTTTTGGTCATAGTCAGATTTTTGTGCTAAACTGTTCATTAGGTTGTCCTTACAAGTGTTGGTCCCCACAGTTCTCACTGACCTGTGAGCTTAATGGGGCAGTCTGTGTCTTGGGCCCATACCTGAACCAATCTCTGAAGGCCAGTAGAGCACTGCTTCTGATTGGTCAGTCCTGGGTCATATGACAATCTCTGAACCTGGGAGAGGATGAAAACTATCCCAGAGATAATATGCCGGGATCACTGTCTTGGAGTCTGATATAGATGCTGGAGGGGCAAGTCCCTAAGGGAGACTCGAGCCCCTAGCTGGGGATTCTTGGCTTCATGCAGGAAAGAATTCTAGATGTAAGCTAGACAAGAAGTTAAAGCAGAAACAAGTATATTGAGCAGAGAGGAGAAGCAGGAAAAGCCACTCCGTAGAGAGTGATGGACTTTCCTCACAACAGAAGGAATAGATACCCCAACTCTCTCTAGAGATTGGGCTTATATCTATTTGTAGTTCCTGTGAAAAATTACTGGTATAAAGAAATAGAGCATGGAAAAGTTGGGGGTAAGTGAAATATAGTGGCAGCCCTACTTTGGTAAAAACTGCTGTTTGAATTTTAACCCTTCTAGTTTGGCTCTTGTACCTGATTAAACACGGGGGGGGGGGGGGGGGGGGAGCTATTTACCTTAGCTTTCAGGTGGAGACTTGGAGGCTAAGGCAATTTTCCCTTGCCTGGGACCAGGAACACAGGAGAGTAATTCCCACTGACTCAGTAACCTTCAGAGATAGAAACTGTAGATAACCTCTGAGCTCTGCTTCTGTGTTATCGGCTGTCCCAAGATAGGGCCACATTCCAATGTCCAGCAGGATGTGACTAGCAACAACGACCCTGCTGGGCTGACCCCAGTCTTTAGAATGTAGTCTTTAGGATTTAGAATTTGGAACAAAGGAAAATTCCTGTGGTTTGAACCTTTAAAAGGGACTTCCTACCCCTGAAACGGGGCAGTCGTGTGGAGACCACTTGCGTGTGGTGCTCTCGCGTCTGTCCTGGCCAGTTATTTCAATACATCTTTGCCTGCTTATTAATCAGTCATCAGCCTCCGGTGGTCTTATTCTGAACCCAGGGTTCGACCCCACAACAGTAAGCTTTCCTTTACAAGGTCTATTTTGTGAACTGTTTTCTCTTTGTGGTATGGGTAAACCATAAGGTATTAGTGAGGAGCTATTAATCGATCTTTGCTTGAAGTTTCTTTGTTCTAGAGGCACCTTGCCATCTGCTTGCATCTCAGGTCAGCCCAGTTCCATATCAGGCAGCAGGTAACAGGCCCTTGGCTTAATTTTGTTTAACTTCAGTTAATTTATATAGTTCTCATGGGCTCTCCTATATTATTCTGATTTGTCAGTGCCCTTATCATAACAACGGTTAATTTCTGATATCATTTTAGATCACCATTCCCAAAACATACACACACACACACACACACACACACTCTCTCTCTCTCTCTCTCTCTCTCTCTCTCTCTCTCTCTGTCAATGGGAGTGGTTATACTAAGAAGATGGTCTTTGTTAATATAAGAACATTCAAACACGTGAACACGTGAAGAATTTTTGTGTGTGAATTTATCTGAGCTGGGAAGCAGAATCTCAAAGAACTGAGATAATGCTCTCAAGAGAATGGTAGTTTTTTTTTTTTTGTTTTTTTTTTTTAACCTGGTTTTATACCTTACAATCAAAGAAGGAGAAGTAAGTGGGTTCCATGAAAATCATTGGTGATAGATTAGGTAGGCAGGGGGGAAGCAAAGCTTAGAAACCTGTGAGATTTGATAAAAAGTAAAATGATAGCCACATGCTTTTTTTACATGTAGGTGGGTACAGGACAGTTAACAGCCAACAAGTAACATGATGACAATAACAATGAGGGAATTTATGGTCTCCACTCTGGTGCACTGGTTGGGTCCTGAGAGGTCTAGAAAATGGGAATTTACATTCCAAACGTGTATTGTCTTTGATGCAAATGACAATAGGCTCCGTTAAGGTCAAAGTTAATCTTTGACAGGGAAAATACTGCTGTAGGACTTAACTACCCATTATAAACTGCTTTTAATTAAATTATTAAATTCAGACCATTCTTTGTTTGTTATTTTAGGTCTCTGTGTTTGCAAGGCCTCCATGCAGGCCTTCCCTGAGCTTGTCAGGTTAGCATGTGGACCCTTTTCTTTTTCTTTTTTTAAAATATATTTTATTGATTTTTGTACAGAGAGGAAGGGAGAGAGACAGAGAGTTAGAAACATCAATGAGAAAGAGTCATCTATCAGCTGCCTCTTGCACACCCCGTACCGGGGATGTGCCCGCAACCAATGTGCATGCCCTTGACCGGAATCGTACCTGGGGCCCTTCAGTCCCCAAGCCGACGCTCTATCCACTGAGCCAAACCGGTCTCAGCACATGTGGCCCCTTTTCATCCACATCTTTGAGCTGACAAAACTAGTGAGTGTTCACTGCTTAAGATCAATGGGCATCCCATCACCTTTTCTATGACGGGGAAGAATGATTACCTGCCCTCAATCTCAGAGCTAGGATCCAGAGGGAAAGACGCTCTCCCCCACCCACATCTGTGACAGGTTCCACCCCTAGTCTAGTCCACAATAATTGGGAAGGGAAGGCTGATTTACATGGTAGAGATTGGATTACAGAGCCTGCATCTGTTGGGGAATGTAGTTGTCATACAAGAGGAGGATCACGGATTGGACAGACACCCCGAGGAATCTATCATACCCTGCCAGGGGATTGTTCATAAAAATTCATTTTTTCCTGATATCTACCTCCATTAGGCTTGGCAGGATATCCAGGCAGCCCCAGATCAATTGTTCTCACCTCAGGAGGACTCTAGCAGACCACGGAGAAGGCTAGATTCTGTTCTTTTACTTGTTGTCAGGCATTAAGGTCATTGAACTCTTCCCCCAACTAAGGAGGTCAATTATGCAGAGTTTATACCACCTGGACATTTTGAAATGGAATTAAAATGTTCGAAGTTTGGTAGAGCCTCAAAAAGTAGTGTTATTTAAAGCATTAAGAGCCTGACACCTGCTGTATTGTTTAAATTCAGTCCCCGTTCATCAGGATCTCAGCGACTCTGAGTAAGCTTACGCTTCGTTGATAGATTTCTCTAATGTATTTAAATATATGAAAGTAAAAGCCGGCTTTTATACTGCAGTGCACCTGCCACATAAAGTGTAGTCGGCATATTAGAAAATTAAAAGGTGTGCAATTCTGTCTCCATGGGACAGGCTTTTAGCAGCTATAACTCTCCACCTGAAGAGCGGGAAGGGCATGCCGGAAGGACGTGAGGAGCAGTTTGTCCTAGACAACGGAAGCTCATGTTCAAGGGCTCCTTTCTCTCTCAGGGCGCATTGTTACCCATTCTCCAGTCAGGGAAGAATGTACTTTTCTGATCTTAAGGGAGGAGGATATAAAAATGACAAATATTTCAGTAATATTAGGCCTTCTTTCCAAGGAAGCAACCCAGGATTTTAAGATTGGGTGAGTGTGGTAAGAATGACCCATTGACTTTTCAATCTTAGAATCAATTTCACTAAAGTGTATATATATATATATATATATATATATATATATATATCCCTATATGTGCACACTTACTATACCCACGTGTTTTTATTTTTCTAACATATCCACAATAGTCATTTGCCACATATGTCATATGTTATACATGTCATATGTGGCAAATGACTACTGTGGGTAGTGTTCATTATTAGAACTACTTATTACAATGCTTTGATAGATGAGCACAAGTCTCAATGAAAATACAGTTTAGAAAAGAAAAAAGGGAAGAAGGAATAATATTTAGAATACTCACAAGTGCTTCAGTAGAGCTTGCATTTTCAGGCAGCTCACGATGCCCATCTGGTCTTTGGGGAACCACATTGGGGGTGCTCATACAGAGGAGACATGGGGCGGGCCTGGGTGGGTCAAGGATAGGAATTGGGACTAGAGTTCCTCGCGTTTCTAGTCACCTAGTGCAACCTTCCTTGAAGGACAGCAGACTGGTAGTACTGACTAATTTTTCTCCCACACCAGCTGTGCTTTCCTCTCAGAATACCTACCTATGCCCCAAACTGGGGGGCTTGGTAGAGGCACATGGCACCCCAGCACTGAGTGCAAGACTTAGTACATAGGATGATGCTCACTAAGTATCTGTTTTTGAACAGACCAGTGAACACTACAATTCTCTCTCTTCTGTGTGGTCATCAATATGTAATTCTGTTTCTCATTCACTTATTCAACATAGATGAATTGTTGAACTCCTTTAGTCTTATGGTTCTATCCAGGAGAGGGAGCGTGGGTGGGTATATCCATAACAGCATATAGGCTTTGTCCTGCAGGTGTTCATTGTTTAAGGCCAAGGTCTATAGACAAAGTGAGAGAGGTCCGTGAACTTGCATGTAACTTGCCATATGTCATTTGTATGGGGAAGGTACTTAAGCAGCCACCCAGAACTGCCAGATTTCAGAAGGAGACAAATATAATATAAAAACTAAAAACTGTCATACAACTGTACGGGTTGTGACAAAAACTTAAGTGTTGCTTCTTTACTCTGCTCATGTGTATATTTTCTCTTCTCAGCTAGACTTTAAGCCTTTAAACACAGCACTTTGCTTATTTAAGGATAATAGCAACGAAGCCACTAATAATGACAACAATGATAGGACCTAGCTAGCTCTTATTGAATAATCATTATGTCTCAGGCATGATGCTGAGCGCTAGATATGCATCCTCTCAATTTACTTTTACAGCGTGTTTAGTGTCACAC